AAATCCAATTTTTAGCAATATCTTAATTATATGATAAACAGAAAACTAATCGATTTTGAAACAGTTTTTTTTTAAAATATATTAGGGCTGGTAATTTAATATTAGAGGAAACATTTCAAAATCCGGTTTTTGTTTTTATTTTTGTTACTACAATTTAAAAGGAAATCGAATCGATTTCAAAAAAGAAAAAATAATATTTTATATTAGGGTTTTAAAGTGTAATATTAGGGGAAAACTTCAAAATCCAGTTTTTGACCATATTCTAATTAGATTTCAAAAGGAAATCTAATGAATTTTGATATAGAAAAAATAGTCTTTGATATGAGGGTTTAATATTAGGGGAAAGCTTCGAAATCCAATTTCTGGCAATATCTTAATTTGAATTTACAAGGAAATCTAATCGCTTCTGAAATAGAACAAATTTAGTTTTTTATATTGGAATTTTTCATGCAAGATTAGGGGAAGCATCGAAATCCAATTTTTGAACATATTTTAATAATTGGATTTTAATTTGATATTAGGGGAAAGCTTCAAAATCAATTTTTTGTTTTTTTCATTAGATTCCAAAAGGAAATCTAATCGATTTTGAAACAGGAAAAAAACAAATGATATTAGGGTTTAATATAGGGAAAAGCTTCGACATCCAATTTTTTGGCCATATTTTATTTAAATTTTTAAAAGGAAATCTAATCGATTTCGAAATAGAAAAACATACATAGTTTTTTATGTTGGGGGTTTTTATTTGATATTAAGCTTCGGAATCCACTTGTTTGCCATATTTTAATTGGATTTAAAAAGAAAGAAATCTGATCGATTTTGAAATAGAAATATGTGTATATATATATGTATGTGTGTGTGTTTTTTATCAGTATTAGGGGGAAGCTTCGTACCCTAATACTAAAGACCCCCCCAATACTAAAAACTCCTCCAGGTGTTTGTTATTTGGGTGGGTGGGTGAAGGGGCGACTGTTTAGCAACAGGGGGAAGGGATTAAACCGTTTTTTGTTTCTAATTTCAAAATCCATGAAAGTAATCTTTAAATAGAATACTGCCAAGAATAGGATTTCGAAGCTTTCGCCTAGTATCAAATAAAACACCAACACCTGAATTAAAAAAACTAAAATTGACGATCTTAAAGGACGGACCCCAATAAAAGACACCCCGGTGTTGACTAGTTTTTTATTCTTTGGAGGTGAAACCCTCACATGGTACCTTCATTTTTAAAATTGTTTCCTCAAGGGGATCAATTAAAAATCAGATTAACCAATTTGACATTTCCCAAAATTGGAAATCGCACCTAGTTTTTGTCATTTGGGGGTATTTTTCGTAATAGGGAGACAGGATTAGCAAAAAGAATGCCTGATCAAAATGATGCTGATTCTGTGTGTTACAATCTTTTTGCCCACTACAGTGTCTACAGGGTTACAAGGGATGCCGTGCCAGCTAGAGTCCCAAGTCCATTCAACCAACCCCCTAATCGATGAAGTTGGACTTGTTGAAATGGAAGTGGGACTGGACCAGTTGACATGGGGCGATGCTGACCTTCAACGGGAGCTTCGGCGCCTGAAGGACAACAGTTTGAAAATTCCGAACCTGAAATATATTTTCAAAATTGCCTTACTAAGAGTGATCCCCACCCTGACACACTATTCTGACATAGTTTCTGACATATCATCTGGACGTATATGTGGCATTTATGTTCTGACATACTATCTTACATTCTTTCTGAGATTCTATTTGACATTCTTTCTGGCATCCTATCTGGCATCTATTCTGACATACTTTCTGGAATATACTATATTCTGATCCTGCCTTGCCATGAGTTTGGGCTGGGAGTGCTTTTATTTGCGTGGATCAATGCCAATGGCTTGAATATCCCCCAAATGTTGGTTTCACATGTTTGCACCCAATGATTGCCATTACCATTGATACCCCAAAATGGCCAGGTCCTGAATTTGAGAGTAGGTCCTGAAAAGTTTTCTGGGTACTGAAAAAACAGGATTTTGGCACAGGGTCTGAAAAAAGACGTAGGTGGAAGATTCAGGTATGCTGTTGGGTTGCAAAGCTGGGTTAATCTCTCTCTCTATTCTCTCTCTATCTCTCTCTCTCTCTCTATCTCTCTCTATCTCTCTCTCTATCTCTATCTCTCTCTATCTCTCTCTGTCTCTCTCTCTATCTCTCTCTATCTCTCTCAGTCTCTCTCAGTCTCTCTCTATCTCTCTCTACCTCTCTCTATCTCTCTCTATCTCTCTCTCTCTCTATATCTCTCTCTATCTCTCTCTATCTCTCTCTATCTCTCTCTATCTCTCTCTATCTCTCTCTCTCTATCTCTCGCTATCTCTCTCTATCTCCCTCTATCTCTCTCTATCTCTCTCTATCTCTCTCTATCTCTCTCTATCTCTCTCTATCTCCTCTATCTATCTATCTCTCTCTCTCTCTCTATCTCTCTCTCTCTCTCTCTATCTCTCTCTCTCTATCTCTCTCTCTCTATCTCTCTCTC